ATTAACCAGAGATAACGTAGCCACTTACTGATGTGTTTAAATGGAATTATAAGAAGAGAGAGTACTTCTCGTATTTCAACAATAGAAGAACGTAAGTCCTAACATCAACCATCTTCAATTGGGATCAAATTGACAGATGATGTTCAATCATCCCACAATCTGAGATCCAATCTCATTACACTTAGTAATAAGTGATGACCAATTGGAAAGTGGAGATGAGTAGGATCAACCAATCGGAATGGTCAATCTGGAACCTGAAAGTTACAAAAATCACAATTGCAAAGACACAGAGCTTTTCCCCCCTACCTTTCTATTGTGCGACACCATACGCAGTAAAAAATCATCTCTGCATCCCAATATCGGATTGGATTACATCTTGTCTTCTTAACGGACTTTCTCCAATCAATGCCCTGGGGCCGTCAACTTCCCAAAAGAGACCAGGAAGGCTAGTTCCAGTAGGACATTCACACTTTGAGAGAAAGAGATATTGGAAGACCTGAATTCACCTACAGTAAACCTATAATAAACCGAGATAATTATTTTGTAACTGGAGAGTTTTCAAACACTCCCACATTCGATTCAGAACTACTCAGATATCCTGTTAATACATGCAGATCAGCAACCTCACCAATTGTTAACACTTTTCCTTCAACTTTTAGTCACCTCTAGGGAATTTACACCTATGAATATGACGAAGAACAGCTTATTTCAGTCAGTTGTCACCTATTCTTCAGGCCTTCAAGATCTGTGTCTGTGTGTTATTACCATTTTTTTTATTAGAAATGGTTGGTTGAATAACAATGTGCCAACAACTATATATAGTTAACATTTTTTAGCATGAATTAGTTGTTTAAATTTATATTGGATGGAGCTAAGTTTTAGTTTTGTTATTAGAGGAGAAGGTGGTAGTTCCATTTCACGTTCTAATTTGGTTGTATATTCAGACCTGAAGATCCGTTTAAGATCGAAAATGTTAGTTGCTAATAAAAATATTTTACAACTGGAGATACAAAGGTTTTATGGACTTTTTTGTTATAAAAAAATTTAGTCAACTACTAAATTGACGTTTTAGTAATTAAAAAATGTAATTGGTATACTCAATAGCAATTACTTTTTTAATTACTAAAACGTTGACTGTATATGAGTTAACATCAGCACTGATTACAGAATAAAATACAAACTGGTATTGAAATTAGAACACTTGAATCAAAACTATTTGTGTATGTTTAGTGATTTTTAATGTTCTATACACAAAATAAAAGTATGCCCAAGCTGAATGTAATGCTGAGTAAAACAGTAAATATCAAGTGAACAACTAGATTCCTTTAACAGGCTGCAAAGACTAAATCAGGACTAAATAATTACTAAACAAAATGGCAGTTTATTAAGTCTATTTTCATCTATCAAGATTGAAATTGTAATTTCACTCCTTAGACAATGTGAGAATCAAACGAGTAAAAAAAAACCTGATCATGACCTCATAAGCTCATATGTGTCAACTTTCTGACTTGAGAGAGTGCCAACTTATGATTTCTCAGAGTTGATAGTGATGTGAGGTTCTAGAAGTGGACCGGAACCATACAACAGAAAAAAAAATTTTGTTTTCTCATATAAAATTTTTTTATAAAACTGTTCAAATAAAAATATAGAAATCTCATGTCCATATAAGGATGTGTTTAAATGGAATTATAAGAAGAGAGAGTACTTCTCGTATTTCAACAATAGAAGAACGTAAGTCCTAACATCAACCATCTTCAATTGGGATCAAATTGACAGATGATGTTCAATCATCCCACAATCTGAGATCCAATCTCATTACACTTAGTAATAAGTGATGACCAATTGGAAAGTGGAGATGAGTAGGATCAACCAATCGGAATGGTCAATCTGGAACCTGAAAGTTACAAAAATCACAATTGCAAAGACACAGAGCTTTTCCCCCCTACCTTTCTATTGTGCGACACCATACGCAGTAAAAAATCATCTCTGCATCCCAATATCGGATTGGATTACATCTTGTCTTCTTAACGGACTTTCTCCAATCAATGCCCTGGGGCCGTCAACTTCCCAAAAGAGACCAGGAAGGCTAGTTCCAGTAGGACATTCACACTTTGAGAGAAAGAGATATTGGAAGACCTGAATTCACCTACAGTAAACCTATAATAAACCGAGATAATTATTTTGTAACTGGAGAGTTTTCAAACACTCCCACATTCGATTCAGAACTACTCAGATATCCTGTTAATACATGCAGATCAGCAACCTCACCAATTGTTAACACTTTTCCTTCAACTTTTAGTCACCTCTAGGGAATTTACACCTATGAATATGACGAAGAACAGCTTATTTCAGTCAGTTGTCACCTATTCTTCAGGCCTTCAAGATCTGTGTCTGTGTGTTATTACCATTTTTTTTATTAGAAATGGTTGGTTGAATAACAATGTGCCAACAACTATATATAGTTAACATTTTTTAGCATGAATTAGTTGTTTAAATTTATATTGGATGGAGCTAAGTTTTAGTTTTGTTATTAGAGGAGAAGGTGGTATTATGGAACCCCAATTACATTTTAGTGAATTGTAAACANTTATACTTTGGTTATCTACAATAACTAACTGTCTAGCTTTATCCGCTTTAATTATTGACAACTGATTCCTTTCAAATAATAAATTTTCTACACCCAAATTCTTGTTTTAAATTTTGAATTATATAACGATAATATACAAACAGTAGATAAGCCAATTCGTATTGGCAATTTTAAAATATTTACATAGATAGAAACGTTAAAACAATTCTTATTATATCAATGTGAAGTGTATGTACGTCTTTATCAAGCTCTTATCTCGATATAATCATCTTCCATAAGGTAGCGATTACCTTGACAATAGATCTGGTTTATCGAGTTAATAGAATAATCTGAAACGCATGAATTATTTCACGTTTTATAATTCGATTTTATTAAAAGTCATCGAAGGTTGTACGTTCTCTGATTAGAGAGGTTGCGTTTGAGAGATGAAAACTTCGGCCGCAACCTCGATTAAAGGTGTTAATACGCGTATCCCCGACATTCCTCTCCCTCCGTTAAACTATACACGTAATTAATGTATCATCACCGATTTAAAAATCATTTAAATTAATGAAATTCAAGTAAAAAAATAATATTAAAAAATTAACTAAATATTATCATTTTTATTGAGTTTATTAAATAAAATATGTTCGTTTCTAATTAACCGCTAGATGGAGGATATTTTTTTTTTCTTTTTTCTAATTGGCCACTAGATGGAGGGAATCTTCATATTTGTTTTTCTAATTGACCGCTAGATGGAGGAAGAGCAGATTAGATGAAGTAGTCAGCTGTATCTTCAGTAGTGTTTAGACGACAGGAACGTTTAGTTCAATAATTATTTCGCAAATAGAAGCCATTTATACATTTATGGTGTTTCAGGTAACAGATATAGTTATAAATTCTTATTCTATTTAGTATATTTTGTGTACTAGCGAAGACATAAATAATTAATGGTAGCGATGGGCGTACACTATGCAGAGCATCTTCCTTATTACGTCTAGTCACGTGTCTATCGGGATTCTTTTCTCGGTTGCTTTTTATATTTATAACAATGTTTTTTTTTTAAATATCCTTTAATATTTACTTATATTACTATAAGTTTGTCTGTTACAGTGATAGAAGTTACTCTTAGATATTTTGTATAACATAGAAGCACAAATTACCTAAAGGTAACTTCTACTGGTTGTAGTTACTACAGGGAATAATATAAATTTTAGAAANATCTTAAATGATTTGAGGGAAAGAATTACCAGACGTCAGTGTTTAAAAAAGAAAAACAAACTTCTTTTACATTTAAGAATTGACACTTTTCATTTATGAAGTAATATTGCTTCTAATAATTTTTCTTCAAAGTCAGACATTTTTATATTTTAATAGGTTATGAGTGGATTTTACTCTGTTTTCTCAACACTAATTGAGCTCACCGGAGTACTTGACCAAAAAAGTTGCTCTTCAAAAATTTCTAGAATTAAAGAAAAGATCTCAACGACTAATACAACAGTTTCTTAAAAAGACACCGGAATGAAAAGTATTTGTAATATTTACATCTTGCAATAGTGATAATTAATACAGTTTATTGTTATACAAAATGTTGTGAAGATTATTGTTTGTTTGTTTAATAATGCGGTTAAAAGATTTTTTTTTCCTGTTGAACAAGTTACGATGTCCGATAATTTAACTGAATAATTACATAGTAAATTAGAATTCTTGTAGATGAAAAATGTATGGAAAAATTCTAATATTTTTGTAATAAATAATACTACCGATAAATGTGTAAATATTTCGTCCATATCCACAGCTGTATATGAAAAATAAATGCATTATTAAAACAAATTATTTTCTATCAATAGATGTATGTATTAAAGCATATAATATACAAAATGTTTGTAAATTTCATAGAAGATATAAAATATTATGAACATATAAGTTAATGTTTTATATCATTAGGTGTTTAATGTACCATCTCGATATAATCATCTTCCATAAGGTAGCGATTACCTTGACAATAGATCTGGTTTATCGAGTTAATAGAATAATCTGAAACGCATGAATTATTTCACGTTTTATAATTCGATTTTATTAAAAGTCATCGAAGGTTGTACGTTCTCTGATTAGAGAGGTTGCGTTTGAGAGATGAAAACTTCGGCCGCAACCTCGATTAAAGGTGTTAATACGCGTATCCCCGACATTCCTCTCCCTCCGTTAAACTATACAAGTAATTAATGTATCATCACCGATTTAAAAATCATTTAAATTAATGAAATTCAAGTAAAAAAATAATATTAAAAAATTAACTAAATATTATCATTTTTATTGAGTTTATTAAATAAAATATGTTCGTTTTTAATTGGCCACTAGACGGAGAAAATCTTCATATTTGTTTTTCTAATTGACCGCTAGATGGAGGGAATCTTTATATTTGTTTTTCTAATTAACCGGTAGATAGAGGAAGAGCAGATTAGAGGAAGAAGTCAGCTGTATCTTCAGTAGTGTTTAGACGACAGGAACGTTTAGTTCAATACTTATTTCGCAAATAGAAGCCACTTATACATTTATGGTGTTTCAGGTAACAGATATAGTTATAAATTCTTATTGCATTTAGTATATTTTGTGTACTAGCGAAGACAAATAATTAAATGTAGCGATGGGCGTGTGGCTACACGTCTGTTGTTTAGTTTTTTTTAAATTCTGTATAGTTTAGTTTTAATTTAAATTCTAATTCTGTAGAATTATCCTCCTTTCCGATTTCTTTGTTTCGGACTTCCGAGAACTCTCCTCACCCCTAACCCAACAAGAGGTAGAGTTAGAACTATAGACGTCAAGGAGGCTGGAGGGGAAAAGGAGAGATTCCAAAATTGGGTACCTTTCTGTCCTTTGATTCTTCTCATTTCCCTTTCTTCCTATCCTATCTATTAGTTTTAAGTTAGGTTAAGGTTCGCGCGTGTAAATTAATTGTCGGGAGGTAGTAGAGGAGTTAACTACCGGCCTACTGTTATACCTGATCACCGAGGTTTGTTGGAAACGTCTAAAGGACAGCGGGAATTCACACCTAATCTGCGTATATATATATCAAATTCAGCGCGAAATTAAACTTGTTTTAATCGGTAAACACGTGTATGTGTTTTTCCTTTCCGCGTTGAACTTCTACAGGCGTACACTATGCAAAGCATCTTCCTTATTACGTCTATTCACGTGTCTGTCGGGATTCTTTTCTCTGTTGATTTTTATTTATAACAACTTTTTTTAAAATACCCTTTAATATTTATTTATATTACTATAAGTTTTCAGTCTGTTACAGTGATAGAAGTCACTCTTAGGTATTTTGTATAACATAGAAGCACAAATTACCTAAAGGTAACTTCTACTGGCTGTAGTTACTACAGGGAATTTTGCTGTCAATAATATAAATTCTAGAAATTAATTAATTACTACAGAATGAAGGAAGTTACTGTGCGTCTCATTGAAATGATTTTAAAGAATTTGGCTGCTCTTATATAAATTATCCATTAAATGACATTATGTCAAACAAAATAGTTTCTTCTTGATTGATACATTTAGTATTGCTGTAATGTAGTTATTGAGTAATCAATATTTTGTGTAAATGATGATAGATATTTATCACTTATATGGATATGTAATTCTAGGTTAAATTTTAGATACGTATACCGTCATGGCGGCACTTCCTGTTGCGACTGGTAGCCTCGCTCCCGACGTTTGGAGCCGAGCGTTGTCACGTGGTGACGACGACCCCGTAGCCTCGAATAAGATCGCTCGGCGACGGTCGACGTAGAGGGCACTGTTTAGATAGATTTGAGACGGATTAATTATGCAAATTATTATCGAGTTCGAAGCGACGCGAAAGCGAAGAGATTCAGGAATTCGAGAAGAAAAAAAAGGCGAGGAGGTTTGCGATTAATTGATTTTTTAAATATTTCCTAATGGAAAATTTAGAAATTAATAGAGAAAAATTTTGGTCGAAGTGCGCGAGTGTGGGCAGTTTTATCGACTTTTGGAATCGGATTATGCAAATATTTAGGTTTACGTGCCGGAATTGGTATAGCGACTTCAAATTTGGCCGTAAGTTTAGGCATTCGGAACGTCGAGGACGTTTGTAGAATGTGTTCCAACAAGTGTAACATAACGTACAGCAGATGCGATAGGATTTGGCCGTCGAAAAACCCCGGCGAAAAGTTTTTTACGCGTTCGTTAATTATCTGCGCGACATATATTGTCCCGGTTCCGGAAAAATGGCAACGTGGAAAGAACCCGAGAGTCTACCCGCCGCCCCTCCAGTTTCCACAAGCGACAACAAAGCGAAAAAAACAGACAAAAAAACGCTAGTTCCAAAAGAAAGCGCACAAGTAAAAAAAAAACAAGTTCTACGTCCAGAAAAACCAGAAAAACGTCGTCGCAAAGGATAATCAGGCAAACAATAGAGTAAGTAATCTGTTTCTTTGTAATAGTTATTTTTGTAATTCGATTCCTCCCCTTTTTTCGCCGCGGCGCAGCCGCTGTCTTTCAAGATGGCGACCGGAATCGGCGACCGCCGCCATCTTGGCTACCTAGGGTAAATCAAACCGTATTTTAGCGGTCGTAGTATTTTAGCAAAAGTTTTAGTATAAGTCGCCGCGTTTTAGCCTATTTCGCGCGACGACGATCCAGTCCGGTAGGTAGGCGGGTTCGTCATCACCACGTGACAACGTTCGGCTCCAAACGTCCAATGCGTCGGGAGCGAGTCTCCCAGTTGCAACAGGAAGTGCCGCCATGACGGTATATGTATTTAAAATTTAACCCAATTCGATAACAAATACGGTAGTTGTATTGGGAAATAAATTTTTGTACATAATTTTTTGGAAATAACTATTTTTTTAAATTAAAACATTCAAATTAAATTTTATTATAAAGTAAACTTTTATGTAAAAATTACTATTTTAGTCCATTAATTGAAATACCTTTTAGATTTGCAGAAATCCATTTTTATTAATTTTTTATTTACGGTCGAATTGAGATATTCAATGGAAAAATTGATTTCTCATTTGAGTTACTTCATTGCTATATTTTGGTATATTTAGTTTTTTATCTTGAGTAAAAGATTTGTAACTATTTCAAAATTGCTGAAGTTCAGACGGTTGTCTTGTTTTTAATGGTGTATAAAATTCTGTTACAATTTTGTTCTCTTTAGTATTAGTCATTTTTTAATTTATTGTAAAAATGTTATTTGATTATTAAAATTTTAATAGAAAAGGAAAAAATTTAAAAAAAAAGTTACTGATATGTCTTCAATTAATTTGCTGTCCTAGCCCAAATGCCTGAATCGGTCACTGAATCTTAGCAGGAATCGATCCTTTGTTAGATGTCGAGTGACGTGACCCAGGTCTACGTATATTTTCCTTACAAAAGATATTTATTTACTCTTGCTTTCTTTTTTTACAGTTACATCATGAATGAGCCACCACCTAAAAAGCTAAAGCTAAGTGAAGCTCCCTGCTCTTCTTATTTAGTAAGTTTTTTATTATTGCACGTGACATTTTATTTTGTGGTAATTTAATGATTATTGTTTCATCAGGTAACAGTCCAAACAGAAACAGCAGTTGTAGCTACCAAAACACAGGATCATCAAAATGCTCCAGTGGGCACGAGTCTTTCTGTAAGTTCATAATAATTTCAAAAAACTATAGTATAATTTTGAATAATTGGTTGATATTTCTTTATTTTATTTCCAGGAGAAAACACCAAATAATCCATGTTCCCAGTGTTTCATGAAGAAAATAAATGAAGAAAGCTTTGTTGACAAAACATTACTGGCATGGGAGTTTTACCATGATGCTGATGATCGAATGTTAATTACTGCTCCACCCAGATTCTGCAAGTCAACCAACATTAATATGCTGAAGGAATTTTTTGAAATAAAACATGACGCCAATGGACGGCAGATCAAGAATGTAACAGAAGAAAATGGAAACTATGTGCCTCTGGAGGGGAACGTGTCAAAAAGTTGGATGGCTTTTAAGAAAATGAATATTTACAAGTGCCGTTGTGAGCCAAAGTGCACGACTGGCTTATGTCCATATAGAAAATGGTTCTATGAACAATTTGGTCAACATCCTGTAATTTCTGTCGACTTTAAAGGCTTACCGGGGACATGCTTGGAGAGAGTCTTGATTAGATTGAACAGTATTATCCATGAGGAATTTAAAAAACATTTGTATCTGATTACAAAAGCACCAAAAAATGATAAAAGAAAGATTTGGGTCTGGTCTAAGAAAGAATTATGAGAAACTACAATATACAGAAATTCTTGACCTATTTTGATGACCACATATGGAAAAGTAGTTGGAATGCAATGAAAAATATTGAGGAAGAGAAGAATTTTGTAATGGAAGGTTTTCTGTTTCTACCCAAACTTTTATCAACCCATTTTGAAACTCAAGAAACTGGTAAAGGAGTGTTTTTGTTCATTGATGAATATGACACGCCTGTTACCAAAGCGATATTTTATGATACGCCTGAATCAGATCTTAAAAATATTTGTCTTTTTTAGAGACTTTACGGGTAAAATATGTAAAGGTAGAAAGAGTGAAAGCACTTTCGAACGAACACTGATTTGTGCTGCAATGCCAATTGGAGCACTGGTATCATTGGGTGCAAATAATGTAGAACATAAATCATTTTTGAGCAAAAGTCACAACTATTACAAATTCTTTGGATTTGTACAAGAAGTGTCAAATTTGCTTATGATGCATAAGTTCAAGACTAAAAAGTTTGATGATGCTATGAAAGAAGTTGAAATCTGGTATAATGGATACCATGTACTTGATGGTGATCTACGTATAAATATCTACTGCCCCTTTCCATCATCAAATACATAAACAGCACGTTGTTACTGGATCGATACAGTTCAAGTAAACTTGGATCCTTTTTTGGATATAAAGTTATTTATGATGATGTCAACACTGTTCTAAACGATTCTACCCCGGGGCATCCTATTACTGTAGTGTCAAAGTTAGAGATTGAACACATCATTCAATTGAAAAACCTTCTCAATAATCATTTCACGTACGATCCCATACAGGATATGGTAGATTTATTCTTTCAATATTTTGCACAGTCTGGATACTTTCTTCTTACTGAGGACACTGAGTCATCTTCTGGAAACATAAAATGTGTGAATCAGGAAATTAAGAGCAAATTAATTAACGCATTCATTTCTGCACGACTTAAGTTACAGAAAACTTTGTTTGAACCTCACAAGATTCAGTCATTTCTAGAAAGTTTGAGGGCACTCAAAGGAAATGATAAGAAGATGTATGTACGTTTTGCATTAAGTACATCTGCTTTGTATAATCTGCAGTCTCTTCCAGCCAATCATTTCATCTTACAAAGTGATATTTATCACATTATCACATTATTAAATCTGATGTAATAAACTTTCCTGATGTTAGGGCCGAATTGGCTGTTTGTATCGGGCGTGCACCTCGATTAGATATTCTTGCTATCACAAAAGAAAATATAGGATATATAATTGAAGTAAAACGCCACGAAAAGGATAATGCGGATGGTGCTCTTTTGCAGATATTATCACGTAATTACGTCACCGTTTTTAAGAAAGTGCCTTTGAAGCAAAAGATTCTCATTGGTTTGCATTTGTCAAATGATCTAGTGTGTACTGTCAGTTACCTAGTAGATATTTCCGAGAAAGATACTGTAAATTCAGTTTTCAAGAATAGGATCACTGTAGATAGTAAACTAGTAGAAGAAACGTATTGACCACTTGTTTTTAGACTAGTTAAAAAAAAAAAATTTGTTCTGAATTATACTAAATAAAATGTACTGGATAAATTTTCATACAAATTTGTATGTTTTTAAGGCAACCAAAGCCAGGTCCAGAAATAAAAAATGTTGCATCTTTAGAGTTTATTTTATAAATACTCTCAAAATTCTCATCACCTATTATTAATCAAGAAATAATATTTTAAACTAGCTGTTACCCACGACTTTGCCCGTGCAGATTTTGCAGCAAAAACCATTTATATTCAGTATTTCAACAACCATAGTAATTGTTATATAACACCTACCGCTGAGAATCAAACTGTTTTTAATGTGATTAATTTCCTGGAACGTTTACAATCGTTTTATAATTGAACCAATATGCAATAATAAATTCGAATTTAAAACGGTTTGAACATTTGGTTAAAAAATCGAAATATATAAAAATTCATAACAATGTCTGAAAAACATATAAATCTTTCTTATTGCATATACTTTAATAATTTAATTAGTTTCTTTTCTAGAGATAATTACATTTGCAATAATTATAGATATCATAGACAAAGATGCTTATGATAATTATGCTTACTATATGATGTAAAAAATTAATTCTATAGCAATACAAATGAACGGATTGAAATACAAAATGTCCACAAAACCTTTGTACAGTTGTAAAGTATTTTTATTAGGAACTAATGTTTTCAATCTTAAATATATCATCATCAGGTCAGAATACACACTCGAATTAGAATGTGAAATTCGGAGTTTAAATAATTTCGTAAAGAAGTTTAATCCTTTAAATTTATAATAAATTTTTTTTAATAGAGGAATTTGAACCTACAAACGAAATATAAAGCGCATGAGAAATTTGTCTTTCTATTTAACTATAAACATTCTCACGATCAAACCGTGTATAGTTTACAATTACAGACGAAATTCGTTATAATGTTGTCATTTTAACACTAACTTTACCCACACATGCTAAAACAAGTGGTCACCTGACGAATTTTTCCACCACAAAACGTATAAAAGCGATCCTCCTTCCCTTCTCGGGGAAGTCGCCAATCGAACGAACAACGTCCTAGACGGACATTAACTTTCCCCTTATACTTACTGTACGACCTTAATTGAAAGACCTTGGGCCACACCTCGCATCGCCTTTGGGAACAAAGCCGGAATTTACATCCGATATTATCCCAGAGGTATGAAATATTATTGTAAACTCTCTCTCATCCGCGAAGTCGAAGGAGTTTTGTAAAATTTTTATTTAGTTAGCGAGTTAAATTCTTGTTTTTAAATGGTGTCGTTACTCGACTCTGCCAACGTCTTATCGTCGACCCCTCCGACTCTCCTCCACTCGCGTAACAGAACGTAAACGCCATCCTTGACAAGAAAATACAGTGGAACCCCGGTTAACGAACTTACTCCGTTCGTTAACTGAATTATTCGTTAATCGAAGCAATTTTTCCCATAGAAATTAATGCAAATGCAATTAAAAACCACCAGTGGTTAAGTGGTCTTCGTACCTTGAACACGGGGAGTTCGTTCGTGGGTTAGCACCTCGCTCAGACGAGCTGGCCACGTGGAGTTTTCCAGGATTTCTCCACGTCTGTAACGCCTAAATAGGGGCCAGTTTCCCTTAAAAACACCTCCCAGAAGGCATTCCCCTTAGTCAGATCGCCCAAGTGTTGCGTTGCCATAACTTAACAAAGAAACGAACTCTTTCCGTAAAGAACAAGAAATTGATCTAAAGTTGATTGTCTTACTCTTTTAAGCAAAATCTTTCTCAAATGCGATAGCGCATTGTCGTTTATATCGCGTTGTCGTTTTCTATTGCCACTATGACCTTTTTCTTTCTTTGATGCCATATCGATTAATTAATTATAAAATGTCCTTTGCTTCTCTAAAGTAAACAGAAAGTTACATTTATGTAATTATTAGCGTCTATTCAAGACGTTGTAATTAAAATACGACAGATTACGTAAGTTACTTTGTCACATTTTCTTAGGTAATATTCTTGAATGAATAGAAATTCTTAATATAAGTATCTCTCTGTATAAATAGGAATACGACAATTTAAGTCATTTATGGATTTTCGATTGCCACTTCCTTCGTATTGTATAATTCCATAAATGATTTACACTTTCTGTTTGTTCCACAGCAGAAATTAAAATGCTGAATTTGAGTTCTTGAAAATATCTTGTATTTGTTCACCAAATTACTTTACAGCTGCATTATTATTTCAGAATTCTGTAGAATATTTTTCGCTCCAAGTTCGAATTTTATATTAAATAATTCACTTCCAAAATAATGTACTTTGTACGTCGATTTGTATCGCACTTTACGCTTTACTTTCATTATTTTGATTACCATTCTATAATCAAAATAATACTGTGAATACGAAGCCAAGTGTATGCTTATAGATACCTTAATTAACAAAATTAGTCAGTAAACTTCTATTAAGTGAATCGATTTCAGCCGATATTTTTCATGAAAACAAAAATTACATCTCCCAGAAATATTCTTCGTATTAAAGTCGCGTATCGTCTCTTAAATATAAGAAATTACATACTATATATAATTAAATCAGTATTATTATAATTGAAATAGATTAATACTAACCATTATAATGTATTGTAAATTGACCTCATGTACATATTGTATACTCCCTCCCTGGTTATGCTTATTGCGGGGCCAGGGCATGTATGTTCTTTATTTGTACCTTAATAAATTGATTGATTGATTGGTACACGGCACCATCAAGGCCAACATTGTGAGCGCCTATTCACCAACTGAAACCAGTCATTGACACAGCCAAGGATGACTTCTACAACCAACTGCAGTATACGGTGGACATGATCCCACAGACTGAGCTGATTATCCTAGCCAACGACTTTAATGCCCATACTGGTATGGACAGAAGCGGATGGGAGACAACAATGGGCAAATTTGGATGTGGTAAAATCAATGATAATGGACGGCGTCTCTTATCCTTTGCTGTCTCCAACAGTTTGATCATTGGGAACATCTGGTTTCAACATCCACTAAAACACCAGCTCACATGGAGAAACCCATCTGATGAGGCTTCTGCTGTACAGGATTATGTCCTAATCAACCTCCGATTCCGCTCAACGCTGAAGAATGTTCGATCCATGAGAGGACCCAATTGTGGCTCAGACCACTACCTGGTCCGTGCCAAAATCCAGTTAAACTATAACGTGCTAAGCGGACCTCGCCATCACTACCTCAACCAGACTGGAAACAACTTATAATCACAACATACAGACAAGAATTTCAGATCGCCTTGTCAAACCGCTTCTCCATACTGGACACATCTGATGACATAAACGAGGGGGATAGACGGATTTCAGAAGTGATACTGGATTGTGTCAAGCCCCTGTGCCCACCAGCCCGCCGCCGAACACAGCCTTGGATATCTGACGACTGCCTCGACTTGGTGGCCAAACGAAAACAAGCGAAGTTGACCAACTATGGGCAATATCGCCAGCTTAATCATGAGGTTTGACTGAAAATGAAAATCGATCGAGAGCTGTACTGGAACAAAGTGGCCGCTGACCTGGAAGCAGCAGCGTTCAAACATGAGTACAGTACCCTCTACAGCACTCTCAGAAAGTTGAGTGGAAAGTCCAAAGTAACAAATGATACCATAAAGAAAGCGGATGGAACATTCATAAAATCGTCGACAGAACGACTGCAACGTTGGAAAGAGTTCTTTAATAACCTGTACAATCATGACGCTCCCCAGGGAGTGTTAGCAGAACCACCGCCGATTGACCAGCCCGCAACACCTATGTCAGATGCAGAGCCTACAATTGCAGAAGTGAATGCAGCCATTGGATCGCTGAAGATTGGCAAAGCTGCTGGACTGGATCCGATCACTACAGAGGAGATCAAGGCTAGTGGTGACATTTTGCACCATCGTCTTTATCTACTCGTTAAAACAATATGGCACATAGAACAAATACCAGCCATCTAGAAGAAAGCTATCATCGTGCCAATCCACAAGAAAGGCGACAGCCAGGATTGCAGTAATTATCGCGGTATCAGTCCATCGTTGGCAAAGCATTTATGAAGATCGCCCAATCAAGGTTACAAAAACACCGTGAAGAAACCAGCCGAGAAGAACAGGCAGGGTTCCGTCCTGGCCGTGGCTGCTGCGATTAAATCTTTACCCTACGTCAGCTTATAGAGGAAAGGACCAAATGTGGCAAACGGATTGTTGTCATGTTCATCGATTTTAAATCTGCATTCGGCTGTGTGCACAGGCCTGCGCTATGGAGAGCACTGGAGAATGAGCATGTCCCACAAAAAGTTATTACACTACTTAAACGGGTTCCTTTACTTACGACGCCTGCGCGTTTCACCCGACTGCCCTTACTGCTGAGCTCCTGAAACATCCCGACATTATTGGCTTACTTGCCCGCAGTATGCGGAGGCCCGCCAAGACTTAGGTCGCACCTTGTCTTTAGACTTCGTCGTTCGTACAGTACGGTAGATTGGGATCATGCCGATTTCCCTCTTCGTCAGCACGTAGAGGCCTTGGAACGATTTGTGTATCGATCGAACCGCTTTGCATAATAGCTATGTGGGGTCCATCGGAGAAAAAGCCAACAGAGTAGAGTCTCCATATGAACCCGTGTACAGAAAAAAGAGCTGTGTTTTGCAAAAATGGTCAGTTTGTATGATACGAATTATTTGGATATTGTATTATTTTTTTACTATTTTTATGTTTTTCCTTTTTAGTTCTGTATTTACCTGAAAAGGGGTGTAAAAAACATAAAATTGCACCCGAAATTCCTAGTAATAATAAATACTAACGTTTGAAAACCTTAGAATTGCCTTTGTCTCTGATGTCCTCTATCTTCTAACCCGCTCGAGCTTTAACTACCAAAATTTATTAGCATCGATCTTCTAATACACAAACTTCCCCGCAAAATTTCAGAAATTTTCAACAAAAAACAAGGAAATTATTAGGTTTCAAAATGGATAAACAGTCGTGTTCCTCACAACACACTAATATCCATACAAACAGTAAAAAAACCCAAACGTTGTTTGCGCTTTTCGACGTTATGAGGTCCCCGAGTCCAAAACTGTAAAAATCTTGGGGACCATTTTTTGACAGATAGCCGTACTTTCTTATATATAATAGCCGAGAAAGTAAAAATAAACGTTGTGTCACAAATGCACAATCGATGCCTTTCAATACGAGGGCTGTTCGAAAAGTTCGCGGCCTTGCCTATATGCGGCGCTGCCATCAATTTAATTTTTGGCGGGAATAATTCAGTCATCCTTGCTAAAGATACTATACCAATTTCCGCTTGATTTGTCATAAAGTTTTGCCACGACAGCTTAGTCAATGTGCACATGCTTTGTCAAAAATGGAGAAGATGGAGACTCGTGCGGTCATAAAATACCTGACGAAAAAAGGGTTGACCGCATCTCAAATCAAAGCTGACATGGATGAAGTTTTGGGAGAGTCTGCTCCTTCGTACACCACTGTGAAAAAATGGACAGCCCTTTTTAAATCTGGCAGAGAGAGTGTGAAACATGACCCTCGCAGCGGACGGCCGTCAACTGCTGTCACTGAAAAAATATCGACAAAGTTTACGATTTGGTGTTAGCAGATCGCCGTTTGAAAACGCGTGAGATAGCTGAGACAACAGGCNGCACTTGTGATATAACACTGGTTTCTTAACTGTGATGTCTTCATTGTTATTTAGGCCTTTTAATTTAACTTTTATGTATTTTTATCTTGTGAGTTTAATTGAAACACCAACTGAAGAGAGACTATTTTAGTCAAAATGCATTTTGGATGTATTATATTAGTACATATTAGTTTTAATGATTGTAAAATCTCTGTTTTGTAAACTTAAATATACAATAAATTTAAGAAATTTTGTTTTTATATTCACTGATATGATAAGCCTCAATATAAATAACTGATTTAAGTTAGTAGAAATATTCAATAAAATTAAGGGCAAAAAGAAAAAAAAAAAAAAAAAAAACAGTTCCATCAGCGGGGAAAGTGATGGCTTCGGTTTTTTTGGAATGCTAAAGGTAGTCAATCTTTATTGACTACCTAGAAAGAGGAAAGACCATCAATGCTGTCTATTACTGTATACTTTTGGAAAAACTGAAAAAAGAAATCGAAGAAAAGAGGCCACACTTGAAGAAGAAGGTTGTTTCACCACGATAATGCCAGAATCACTGAACAAAAGATAAACGAACTTAGCTTCCAATTAGTTCCACATCCACCGTACTCACCTGATTTAGCCCCCAGTGACTTCCGCCTTTTTCCAAATTTAAAATAATTCTTGGTTCGAAAGAGATTCCACTGAAATGACGAAGTCATCTCTGAAGTGAACGAGTATTTTGCACACCTTGACAAATCGACCTATTGTGATGGCATAAAAAAGCTAGAACATCGCTGGAATAAGTGCATTGCTAACAAAGGAGACTACATTGAAAAATAAAAAAGTTTTAACGTTATTTTGTTTGTTGTTCTATTTGAGGCCGCGAACTTTCCGAACAGCCCTCGTATATATATATATATATATATATATATGCAAAGTGTTAGGGATGTGTGTTCAGGACTCAATTCGTGCGGAGGTACCGTTAAAAAATTTGAAAGAATACTATCAAAATACTTTATGCGTTCAAAAAAATTGGAAAATTTCAATCTGTATATGGGAAATTTTGGGGTAATTTTAACTTTATGTAAGTGCTTAAGCTTAACAACAATGGTAATTAAGCCAAGCTGTTTTTTTAACTCTTTCCGCCCTGTGGGCACTAAGAGGACCTCTTTTAGCAAGCCCATTATGGGTTCGACCAGGCCCACAATGGGGCGGCCGGGTGGTGATGGATGGGCTCGACATATCCGAACAGATCACCCCGAAAAAGTCCTGGGATTTTTCTACCCGTTCGGATTCGATCCCGGATCCCCCAGAGCGGTAAAGCTTACTAGCTAAGCCTTAGCCGCTCGGAAACAGATTATTAATTTAAATGAATTGATACACCCACAATGCCTTAAATTAATATACTGTAATACAAACAAAAACATTTGAGATTTTAAATTATTTTATTCGGTTAAGATTATTTTAAACACCAATTATTAAACATTATTATTTCAAATATGATTTTGAAAGAGGGCGCTACTCGCTATACTCTCGCAAAAGCGAAAATGTAAATAATACTTTTAAATAATTTTATTTTAAAAAATAAAAATAATTTTTAATATTTAATTTAATGATAATAATAATGTTATTACTTAGATATTAAAATAGCTTTAAATTTTTATACGATTTAAAAATTAAAAATTTGAATTAAAAAAAAAAAAAAAACAATTTATGTTATTGATAGAAGCCAGCAGATGGCGACGTGATATCAAAACAGTCGACAAGATGATTACGATAAGTAATATCACATGATGGAGATTTTAGGATGGATTCTTTTATGTTTTATCATGTCTGTAGAAACGAAAAATATCCCCGTGGTTATAAATACTTGGGAATTTACTGTAGCAACTAAAGCTGCGTGGAATGCCGTATATAACGAAAGTAGAAGCGCTTTAGATGCGGTGGAAATTGGATGCACCGCTTGTGAAGTTGCACAATGCGATGGAACTGTTGGATATGGAGGAAGTCCCGACGAACGTGGAGAAACCACGCTCGATGCTATGATCATGGACGGTCCTTCGCACGATATCGGAGCCGTCGGAGCTCTGAGGAGAGTTAAAAGCGCAATATCTGTGGCTCGTAGGGTGCTAGAGAATACTCAACATTCCATACTCGTGGGTGATCAAGCTACCGAATTTGCTAAGCAAATGGGTTTCAAAGAGGAAGATCTGTCGACTAATAAATCTAGAGACATGTGGAAGAAGTGGAAACTGTCAAATTGTCAGCCAAATTATTGGAAAAATGTCGTTCCCGATCCCAAAAAATCCTGCGGGCCCTACAGGCCGGCGCGGATGGACGGACGGTCGGGCGAAACGCCCCGGTACGAGTCGAACTTTAATTACGGAAATCACGACACCATAGGTATGCTCGTGATCGATTCTCAAAACAGAATGGCCGGAGGGACCTCCACCAACGGTGCAAAGTTCAAAATTCCCGGAAGGGTGGGGGATTCGCCCCTGGTGGGTGCCGGACTCTACGTCGATCAGGAAGTCGGCGGAGCGGCCGCCACGGGAGACGGCGACGTGATGATGAGGTTCTTGCCGAGTTATCGGGCGGTGGAGAACATGGCGGAAGGAATGAATCCCTACGACGCGGCTGCGGATGCCGTGAAGAGGATAGGTAAAAAATATCCGACGTTTAGCGGAGCGGTAATTACGGTTAATATAAACGGCGAAGTCGGTGCCGCCTGTCACGGGATGAAAGTGTTTCCTTTTTCGGTGTGCAATCCGGTTTTGCAAAACGTTACCGTAAAAACCGTTTCTTGCATATAAAACGTCGGAAATAGCCTTTACCCGAGACATTGCACTATTTGCTTATTATTATTCAAATTAAAAATGTGATATTTTTGCAAAACTAAATGTTGCAGCACCAAAGTAATTTTAAACACTTTTAATCCAATGTAAAATTTTAATATTTTGAGCAGTGGAAATTTGCAATTAAATTACCACTGCATTAATTACCTCGACAATCTTTTTATAAATGAAAAATTTTAAATTAAAGATGTATAAATTATGCCATTTATCAAATCAAAGCATATTTTAAAAATTAATAAATATTTTTATTCTACAGCAATGATTAATTTTATCAGTAAAAAACTACATCTGCTTTTGCAATTTTCTATTTTTGTCATCTGAAAAGTTTTTTCTCTTTTGTAATTTTCCCATATAATAAAATGACTTCACCTTACTAAATTACCTATTTATATAGAAAGCTGCATCATTCCGCATACAAATTATGCTGCATTACTAAGCTCTATCTATATCTTTTTCATTTCCACTAATTAAAACTGCTGTGCTGTTTGTTATCACATATGCCACTTAATGTACTGTAAGTACACATTATATCAAGTGGTAAAATGCGAGTAGAAGGATTTGTGTTGCAGACTAGGAATATTCTATCGAGATGGTATTAGAAAAACTACTAAAATTGCTTAACGATAGAACAGAAATGGGTGGAATATCAAGTATAATATTATAATAGATTATGAATAGATACCATAACTGTGTACTGTTACCTGTGTTAGATAACTAAAACCCAGATAGGATGGACACTCCTAGTTAACTGTCCTATGCATTAAATATATTGATTTATGTAAAATTCTTAGCTTTTTATTTAAGGTATCGAGTATGACTATATGTACTCATTTATTATCCCGTCGAATTGTGTTGTCGATTAATGTTATATTAATTTTTTAAGCAGATTAAGTTATTCAACCACGAGATATTTCTAGATTATTGAAAATTTAAATTCATTTAATCGTTTAGAAAAGTTGCACAAGTGTCTAATTCAAATAAGGATCTTAAAGAAATTGACCTCTACAATTGTTAGTTAGGATTATGCTAAAATCTTTCTTCGTAGGGTGATTAAGAGAATTGATTATTCATAATAATGTTGCCGATACGTTTTAACTATTATGATATGTATTACATAACATATATGATATTTACACAATAATTTTTAAAAATAAGTATTAATAGAGAGGAAAAAATATATATTTTAAATCAAATTAAATTCAAAATTATATCATTTATATACAAATAAACATTGCGCAAAAATATAATCTTATTTGATTTCTGATAAATTGAAGAGAGCAAGAAGAAAATATTTAGCAAAGTCTTTTATTAATTATTCATTACTGTCTGCTGTTCTAAAGAAAATCTAATTTTGACTTCTTAAGCAAGACACTTTTATACATTTTTAAAGAATTCTTTGGTTTAAATATTTATGACATATTCTTCAAAACTTGTGTTTTTCAAAACAGTAAAATGTAATGAAAATTGATAGAGGAAAAGAAAATATTTTGCTCTGCTATTTAATTTTTGAGTTTTTATAAATTATATTTTTAAAAGTAAATGATAAATTTATTTTTTCTTTAAATTTCAATGTTACTCTGATCATTTAAAGTGATTTTTTTTTAATTTTTTAATATTCTATTAATTTATATATCAATATCCTTAGAAAATTGTTTTTATCACTCAAATATACTAAAAGTACAGTACTTTAAACAACTTCTTGGACTAAGTTTTTTACCTTATAACCATAGTCCTGTACATTTAATTTTAACTGAACTCTTAAATTTGTGTTATTTGAGCATTAAAATTAACAAAAAAACATACAAAATTGTTGGAAAATTTTGCATTTGGAAGAGTTTGCTCCACTCCAGTTTTTCCAACATCCTTCTAATTGCTTAATTTGTTATTTATGCTTCCGACGGACTTTATACTTGCTAGAGTTTAAAAATTCCTTATTTAAATTTAAATATGTGTATATTTATTTGCTTTAGAATATATGGCCAAATGACCTTTGATTATGATGCAGATAGCATTTTATAAAGAATATTAAATATTTAATTGCTTCTACACAAATAATCAATATAAAATATGGGGAACTAACTAGGTTAAATTTGCATTTTAAGTTTCTTTTGTGTTGATAAGATCTCATAGACTTTGATGTGTGATATATTGAGTTTAAATGCTAAATTTATGTGTAAGTTTGTGTTTTAATAGCATAAATAATTGTGGAAATTGAACAAAACTTTAGTATCTAGTACACGATGGTTAAAAATCAAGTTTTATAGCCTCAATATAAAAAAAAAACTATTCCAAAAAGCCATTTGTATGAGTCATAAAGCAACATAATTACAAAGAGAGTGAAGTGTTTTGTAAACTAAAACATATTTTTATTATATTTTAGTTTAAAATATTCAAATTTACATGAATTATTTTAACAAATGTTTCAGAAAATTATATAGAGAACTGAATATAAAACAATTCCCTAAGAGTACCTCTGTATAGTATCGACTTCTATTGATAGTCGAACGTCACAATATGCATTTACGTCATAATTACGCAAGAGTGACGAGCGAAATTCACACATCAATAAAACAAAAGGAAGAGCGTGCTAAACAATACAAACATCTTACAATAACGACGTGTCACAATTGAATCTAATACAAACGGCCGTTCGATTACGCTGACGTAACGAATTAGTGTTTCCTCACGAATGACGTGGCGTAGAACATAAAAAAAAAATGGCGGATTTTTCCAAGCAAAATGTCATCCGAGAGAATAGTAAAAGGGGGGTGGTAATTTTATTTTTGACAGTTATCTGGTAGAAATGTCATAGTTGAAAAGGTACAACGCGTAGAGATGCTACAAATTATCTCTTTGGCATCGTTTCAGTGACGTTATAAGAGATAAAAATGTGGCACATCTTTTTAATATACCGTTAAATTTAGAAATTAAATTTTAAAAAATAAATTTCGAGTTATATTAATTAAAAAAGTCGGGGAAGATCCTCGAGTAACAGATGTTTGAATAGGACTCGAATTAATTTAATTTTGTAATAAGTAAAACTCATTTTCTACATTACTAAATAAGAAGTTGCTGGTCGCTATTTTTAGTAACTTGGTCTTGATCAAACGTTTCCGGAAATAATTTTCTCTGCACGTCCGATCGATAAATTTTCATCAAAATGAACATTTTCTCATCCCGACTTCGACGTCTCCATCGTCTTTTCTTGTAGAATAAGTAAGTGTCGAGTTTCTAAAGGAAGTAAAATTTCACTTTTTCCTATAAAGCAAATGCTATTCCCAGAAATTCTTTTACTTTCTCAATTTTTAAATATTAATGCATTCAATTACTTTATAAAAATTGGACAAATTAAAATAGCTCAATCGTTAAAGTTTGGAATTGTTTTTGAAGTTTGTTTTAAAAAATAAAAAAATAAAAATGGAGTTAAATGATAGGATATAGATTTTATGACTTTAAATGTGGTGGAGAGTAATTTTCCTGTTTACTGTTAAGTAATAGTAAAAATATTATTGAAATTTAAAGAAAGTAAATAAATAAAAATGTTTTAACCTATTTAACAAAATGAAATCATTACTCTAGTTGTAAACATTTAAAAATTCTATCCTACTTTGTTGACCTATTTAGAAGACCATCTGTTATGGATCGACCGGATCAATAACTGTGAGAACGTGACATCTCTTTTTTTAATCGGAGAGAGTTGGCCGCCGGTGTTTAGTTAGCGAAATTGGCTTTGAGATTCTCAAAATTAAACTCTCCGGAAAATTTCGTACTAACGACAGACGGTATTAAGTTTGTTTAATGTTCAATTAAATCAAAAAAGATTTAATGGAATTATAAGTTTTTATTAAAACATCTTGCGAGATTTATAAGTGTGTAAGTGGAACTAGATTATCGATTAATTTAAATATTTTAAAGCGAGACCGTTCATCCGTGTCATTAAATCAACCGTCAGCTTGTTTAAACTCTGTTTGCAAACTATTTAACTAGTTTTTGGATCACGTAATCGATTAAACTTATCCGGAATGTGAAAGAAGTTAAATATTTATATTTCTTTCACTCTCTAGTTGCGCCCGGAAGCAATGTTTGTTTCGTTTCGAGCGAACGGAGACGTTGAGCAGTTTAAGTCAACATGATAACGGTAAATAAATACGGTTATATAAAAGTAAAAGGAAATTTTATCGGTCAAAGCGATGTCGAAAGGTCAAACTTTTAGACAAATGATAAAGACTGTTTTTATTGAGCATCTGTAAAAGTTTTATTGGAAGCACAAAAATTTGATATAGTCAGTAAACACCTGTAAATAATTCTTTTAATCAATTGAAAATATCTATAGGAAATCATGATAAAATACTATTTGGCTTTTTTTTCTTCTATAATAAACATTCAAATATTGTTCAAAGTTTGCTATAGTTTTCTGTATAATTGAATACATATACATATTTATTATATATATAAGCTAAATATCTCAAACAATTTGAAAACATCACGATTGTAATGACTAGACTTTGTTACGTATCTAATATATTTCGAGTAGCTAGAACTTATGCATATATCAAAAAATAGAACTGAAAGTTTCAAGTTTTGATATAGTGTTTTTTGATTGTAGTCGGCATTGGTCTTTCGAAAGACTTCCCTCCATCATTTCGACAATTATAAATAACAATTCTTAAAAGTTCTGAATGTTATTAAAAATAATTATATTTTAAAATGGCATTTGATAATCTTCAAATAGTGCCTTTTCTCTCTCTTTCTCATCCTACTTTCTTTTTATATATATTAACAATTGTGTAATACAGATGCTTTTTATTAATACAAAAGCACTTGGAAAAAAAGCACCATTTCAGAGGATAACCTTAACCCCTCTGCTTAATTTATAATCTTAATAAAACATAACAATAGAATATTTTAACTGTTACTTTTAGGGATTTAAAACTTGTACGTCTGAACCGATCGGAACGCGTCTGCCTCTACGAGTCGTCGTCGTCGGACAAGTCTTCCTTCTCGCACGACTCTTCCAGGTTGCTTTCGTCTATGGATTCCGTGGATCTTTGTAATTCGTTTCTCATGCAGCAAGCCATGTCAATGCGGGGTAACATCATCTGTTCCGGATTGATCCACGGCTTGAAGTTCGGATTATTCTTTATTTTCCAGGAGTCGTATCCCACGCAGGCTTTATGCAACCTCTTTACCATCTATTTAACATGAAATAGTCACCTTCAATTAATAATACAAACTTTGCATGTTGTTATTAATTAAAACATTGTCGAAAAATTTTACCTTTGGTGCAAATATCTGTGTTAACTTGTTAACCATCCACACTGGTAATGAACCTGAATTAATTATTACATAATGTAATAGACGAACATCAATAAATAATAGTTAACTAAAGACTAATGTAATTATACGAATATGTGTTTAGTGATTTATCTATGTTTAATCACTTTAAATAATTAAGTGAAAAATAATTTCACCTTTAGGATCACACTGTGTTACATAATTCAATTCACAACCATTATCTTTAACTGGTCTGATGACAAATCCCGTCAGAAGAGAGATGCCACGAACGAATCCCTTCTTCGGAGGAGCCGACTAAAATAATTAAACACAAAAAATTGTCTCGGCTGCCTACAAATATTTTGTTATCATTTCTATTATTAACTCAAATTAACCTTTACTTACGTCGTGGTAGACAGAATGATTTATCAGCATGTGCTCATTTTTTGTCACCAGCCACGACCGTAACAAGACAAAATCCCTGTTTTTGAGTGGAGAAGGACATTTAACTGTAATATATAATTTACTTTTATTGAAATCTTATTACTGCACCATTTAAACATTTAAAATAATGATAATCTGAATAACTTTAGAGCTACAATTAATACAAGAAATTAAATTATCAAGTATCATACATATTAACATCTACGAAACATATTTAAATATACTTTTTCAAAAACTGGATCACGAATAATAATAACCATTACCTGCATAATAACCGAGATCATTATTAGGATTGAGACAACCGATATCATAACTTTCCACCACATGAGTGTCCCACATTTTTCTATAATCTGGGTCTAACAGCACGTCAAACAGCAGAGCAGGTGACACATCTGTATAAATGGTCTTCAGCTGCAAAGAATAAATTATTAATTTAATAATACTTTTATAATCCTTTTTTCAGTTCAACAGCATTTAGAAATTTTAAAATAATTGTCAATTTATACACAAGGTAACTAAATCGGACGAAGAGTTAATTTAAAATCTAGACAAATCCGAACAAAATACCCGCAACTCATCCCTATACGCTTTTACGATAATTTTTAACTTAATCACAGAACGGTCGAGAAATTTTTCCCGCTAATCATCAAATTATCGAGAAATGCCGCGTCTACGTATTTATTTTTCTCCTTCGAATATCATAAGTTACAATAAGTTTAGAGGTATAAAACATCTTCCATTCAAGTAAGAGAAAACAACAATAATAATATAATAATGTTAAAATTTAAAGTGCAATTTCATTTCGCCAGCAGTTCTAGATACAAATCCGACAAAATAAATAAGAAAACATATTGGAATTTTTTAAAATTAATCATCAGAATTGTTTCTCCATGATATAATCATTGTCTAATATAGAAAAAAATTCTTAAATTACCCAAGACTTTATCAGAAGTGATAAGACAAAGCTTTCCATGGACCATTAAGCTGTTTACATGCAGCCAAATGATAAGAAATTTCATTTCCTTTATCCATGTCACAAGTTTTGTGTTTATGTACCAAAGTAATATTAAAATTTTAAATTGTATGCATGAATTATTGTATATTTAAGATAATTTACCAGTCAAATGTGTTTTTATTCCTATAATTAAGCATTAGATATATTTGTTTTATGACGGAAATTACCTTTATTATCTTGATATTGGTTTGCTGGGTCGATTTCGTCCACACTTGTGTCATTTTCTTCTTATAATCCGACTTCCAACCGTCTTCCAAGTCGATTAACTTCTTCAACTGCTCGAAATCCTTATCCTCCGCAACTCTAACCTCTCCTATCTCCATCGTCAGCTTCTGCTGGTTCTTTTTCGATGGTTTCGGCGATATAACATCCTTACGTCCCTTCGAATCTCTCGACATGATCGACTTTCGTCCGAAATTCACGAATATCGACCGAACTCCATCACTGTCACCTGTCAACTACACTTCGCTACCGGTGCCGTGTCGTCCTTGACGTTACTCCAATTGAACCTAACCTGGAATATTTCGGTATACCGCTACACTAAACGGTAAATATTTTTAATTATTTTAATTTTTGTTTATAATAATAATAATATTTTTCAAAAAGTCTTAAATATATTTATTTTTATTTCATATTTTTATCTGAAAATGTTTGTTTATGTAAATTTGACGTAATGAAATGTATTTGGTATGACGTATTTGGTTCATTAAACCAAATGCATTGTGATTTTTTAAATTTTTAATATTATAAAAGTGTAATTTAGACCGACTTAATACAAAAAAATCTTCGGCAGATTAGAAAATAGATTAATTTTTCGTTCCGCCATGCGCCATTTTCTTATTTATTAACACTGCAAATGTCAGAATTTTAAACTATAAAAACGAAAGTAACGTCATTATTTTAATTGTCAGTTTCCCCGTAAAAGACCTGTCGTGATGAATTCTCCCCTCATCAGATTGTCATATTTTATGTCGCATTGCCGTAAACGAATAAAATCAAATCAAAAATCTAAATAGAAACAAATTTCTTGTAGAAAGTCGTACCTTCTTAGATCGCCCTCGTGTTGCGTTGTCATATTACATTAAACCAAACGTATGATTAAGAGAAAGCGGGATGTTTTATTTTCTATATTATAAATTAGATTTCAGCACTGTTTTTCCGATTCGCCACATGCTTCTCGGTGAGGCAGATCGACGGTCGGCAACCGATGGTCCGCGAGAAAATTTGGATGGTCCATGGAGAAATTTTAACATTGATCAACCGAAGATTACGCGAAGTATTACGAAATAAATGCAAAATGCTTAGTAGCTTTTTTCACTCTTTGGCGTTTTTTATTCGAATCTAAAACCAAAAACGAAGTGACTGTTTTATGATAACAGTCACTTCGTTTTTGGTTTTAGATTCGAATTTGGCGTCTAATTTGTTTAATTTCTTTATTTTCTGTTCTCAGAACGGGTAAAGTTTAAGAAACGAAACGTGGCACTGTAGCTTGCGTATAAAGGGGCATTAATACTATTAAATTTTGGTTCTTAATTAAAGGTCGACAGGGTGAAGACATAAAAGTGGTCATGTCATATCTCTTAATGAATACTCGTTATTAGCGTTCAAAATTTAAAAAAAATTAAAATAAAACTCGTCTTTACCCTCAAAGTAAGCTTTTTTTGCCATTTTATAATAGTACAGTAAAACCCCTTAAAATGTTTTCGCTTAAGATGTTAGAATGTATATGGGGACATGATTTAGTTCAACTACTTTGACTTAAATAACTAATTCCTGTGTTTTTATTTTGCTGGTGGCCAGGTTGGCCTTTTACAAGCATCTTACAGTAAATCAACAAAACCAACCAAAAAAAAAAAAA